GGAGGTGGTACACACCTTCAATCCCAGCGTTCAGGAGGCAAAGGCAAGGATCTATGAGTTCGAGGCCAGCATGGTCTACATGGTGAGTTCCAGGCCAGCCAGGGCTATTGGAGACCCTGTCTCAAAGAAGGAGAGAGAGAGAGAGAGAGATGAAGAAGAAGAAGAAGGGGGTAGAAGAAGAAGAAGAAGAAGAAGAAGAAGAAGAAGAAGAAGAAGAAGAAGAAGAAGAAGAATGGGGTAGAAGAATGAAGCTCTAGTAGAGGGGGAATGTGAAGTGATCACACACTGTCTTTATTCCATGAGCCTTTAGTCTATGACCCTGGTGTTACTAGCTTCCTATTATTTTTCATTTTTCAAAATTGCACTTATTTGTGGAGAAGGTTTGTGTGCATGCCACTGCACATGTAAGGAGGTCAGAGAACAACTTTTAGGAGTCTTTACTCTCCTTCCAGCATGTGGGTCCCAGGGATCAAACTCAGGTCTTCAGGCTTGGTGGCAAAAGACTTTTCCTACTGAGCCAACTTCCCATTCTTAAGGCAGATCTTGATCAAAATTGTATTTATACCCTTTTAAAAATATTTGAATTTTCAGCCAAAACTTTTCTTCAAAGTTGATCTGTTTTTCCTCCTGTGACTCTATACTAATGCTAATCTGTTTCTGCTCTGAAACTGGACCCAGATTTGAATTAAGGCACAGATACTAATTTGCTGTCTTACTTTGAACAAGCTACTTAACCTCTATGTGTCTTATTTTTATTAGTTGTGCATGTGTATGTATTTTTACCATTTTTTGTGGTAGTGTATATCTCAGAGTTATCATATGATAAAGGAATTGTTAAAGTACTTATAGTAATTGCCCTCCTAGTGGGTAGTGATGTGAGTTTTTTTGTGCTGTGGCTCAGATCCTGGCATGATGAACGACAGTTCTCTTACAGCACATGAGAAGCAAGTACACACTTTTTTCTACCCCTTCTTTGAAGCTGGGTATTCCTCCTGGGACCAGCATGCTCCACAGGGAAAACTCCACTAACTTCCTCTTGGTGATGGACAACTGTTGGGGGAGAGTTCTCTGCTCACACACATTGTATTTGACCTATTGTTTGTGTGTGTGTAAAACTTTCCAGGAGGAACTTTAGCTCAGCTTTACCCACCAAGAACGGCAGTGGCCGTTTGCAACAAACCAGCCTGAGTCAACAAAAAGCATGTTCAGGGACAAAAGCTGCCCTGCCCTTTACAAAGCAATTGCCTCTACTTTCCTGGGAATCTTCATTTTAAAATAGTTTGTTATGTGGCTAAAACACATTACGCAAACATTTGTAACTTTTCCAGATTAAAAATTGTGTGGGTGAGGAGATTCTTCTTTCTGCAGCCAATGAATCTAAAACTAAAATGACAGTAGTAGAATGATTGTGGTTGCTGGTATTTTTATATTTTTTGGTTTTCATAATACACTGAATACCAAACACCACACAACACGGAGTATGTCACTGCAAGCCTTTCAAGAGGGGAGGGTGGAAAGAAAACAGAGGGAAGGGAAAGGAAAAGAAATAATAGCTTCCCACTTTACTTAGAGAATGCCAGAAACCTGGAGAGGCTAGGGAGGGGACCACACATTCTTCAGAACATGATTGTATGCAAGGGACATAGTAAAGAAACCACCAAAATGGCTGCTCCATGATTGAGGGGGAAGGTTTTATTGTGGATAAGAAAGAGAGAACATCCAGAGACATCTGGAAGAGTCCAGAGCAGAGAGAAAAAGGAACAGACTCAATGTGGCCAGGGCTATCTTCAAGAGAAGGGGGCCAACTGAGGTGGCCAGGGGTTTGGGGAGAGGGGTGATATCTGGAACAACCTGGGGGCTAGCAGAGTGTAGGAGGAATTGGGGAGGTGAGAAGGGCCAGGAGGCGACCATGTGGCTTTGAAATGTGCTTGTGAGTAGAGACTGAAGGAGCCTCGAGGCCAGCATGGGCTTTGATATGCAGCTATGGGTGTATGTCAATGGCGAGCCATATGTCTCTTCTGCTAGAGGCAAGGGAGATAACTCATTTTAGTGGATGGAACTGAACAGGAACTGTTTCCCAAGTTCCTGAGGAATGCTGGCTTTTATCTAGCCATCAGGAATTCTTCTATAGTCCAACTTGTTTTAAGCCAAGACTGTCATTTCTGGACATAAGCACTGTCTGAGACCAAACAGTAACTGAAGGACTGGACTGCAGGAACCAAGAGGAAAACTGCCGTCAGTGCAGTATACCTCATGTGCATTCGGATGGGATTGTTTAATGACAGAATGTTGACCCAGCCTTGTAAAGATGGGTGATAATGCCAAGTACAGAACATGGCAAGTTTACAATCCATGGAGCATGAAAACTAGCTGGTCTGCATTTCCATTAGAATAAAACAGATTTCAATTAATTTGCAGAGAATTGTGTATCAGTAAGATGTAAGAATAACTTAGGGAGAATTTTTAAAATCTGGAATGTGGTAGCTAAGTAGAATTTCGGAGTATTGAGGTGCCATTGTGCATACCAGTAATACCAGGAGTCTGAGGCTAGCTTGGGCAACACAGAGACCTGTCTCAAAAAAAAAAAAAAAAAAAGGAAGTAAATAAATTAATTAAAAGGCCAGTGTATCAATACTGGAAATAGTACTAGACACCATTCAAGGTACTTTGTGTGTGTGTGCTCAAGTGAATGTGCCCAAGCTTGACTTTGGATCTTTCTTCCATTATTATATTTCATCTTTATTTTATTTTCTACGATTTTAAATTTTTTTCATTTTATTTATTATCATATGTAGGTGGGTATAAATATAGAGGTCAGAGGACAACTTTATGGAGTCGAGTCTTTCCTTCCACCTTAACGTGGGTCCCAGGGGTTGGACTCGGGTCATCAGTCTTGCAAGGCAAGCACCTTTGCCCACTGAGCCATTTCACTGGCCCTCCACCTTTATTTTTTGAGTCAGGCTCTCCCTGAACCTGAAGTTCATTGATCCGGCTAGGCTGACTGGACAGTAAGCTTCTGGGATCTGCTTGTCCCTGCGGAGGGGTGTGGGGGGGAGGGGATGGGGCTGTAGGGGGCGTCACAGGCTGCCTGCTGGGCTTTTGACATGGGTTCTGGAGATCTGAGCTCAGGTCTGCCTGCTGGCACAGCAGACACTTTACTGACTGAGTCATCTCCCCAGCCCCAAACAGTTTTTTTATTTTTATTTTTGTATAAATTTTGAGACAGGATCTCATGTATCCCAGGCTGGCCCTTGACTTCAATCTGCATACCTTTGGAGTTGACCTGACTGGGCGACTAGGGAATGAGAAAGGACAGACACGGGTACAGAAAAGCTAGAATTGTGGGCCGTGTGTTCTGATACAGTTGTACCGCAGCAGCCTGAAATCTTACTGAGTTTATTTTATCCACCTGAATTGAGGAAGTGGTTTATACAGCTGAACAAGGAGGCAGGTTTAGCCAAACTTGGTAGGAGATGTCTATAGGGAAGCAGTTTCAGGCTGTGAAACTGCTTCCTCCAAGGGGAGGAAGCTGTGATGGACAGTTTCTGCATACACTGGTTTTAGCTGAAGGTTGGTCATTTTTAACATCCATACTTGTTGGACCAGATGAAGGCTTTGCCATTCACATGGATCTGAGACATTGGGATCCTTGACATGGCTGTGCTTGTCAAAATACATCTTCACTTGGGACTTTACCAGCTTCCCAGAGGTCCTGAACCTGCTAAGAAACTGAGATGACCTTGAATTTCTAGTCCTCCTGCTTCTACCTCTGGAGTACTAGGATTACAGGCACGAATCATCAAATCTGCTTTTATACAGAGATGGAGAGTCAAACCCAGGGCTTCATGCATGCTAGGCAAGCACTCTACCAACTACTGCGTAATATATATTCCTAGCCTAAAGAAACTTATTTCAAAGATGAAGGCCTAGACACATATTAAGTTATTAAGTCAGTCTCTCCAATAAGTCTCTCTCCCTCTCCCTCTCCCTCTCCCTCTCCCTCCCTCTCCCTCTCTCTCTCTCTCTCTCTCTCTCTTCTTCCTTCTCTCTCTCTACACACACACACACACACACACACACACACACACACACACACACACACACACACACACTTTTTTCTTCAAATCCAGAATTGTCCTTAAGTTGCACAGAAATGTGTGCTGCTTATGGTGTTGGTAGGTAGGTACCATGAACTGCACCACAGAGATCCCAGTACAGCTTGTAGTGTGCTGTTAGACCAGTCCTGCCCCAGCTTTGTACTCAGTCAAGATGAAAGTGGCACTGTTGCCATCTAGTAATATGGAGGGATATTGGGCACTTGTGACTGGTTCTCTAATGGTGCCAGGCTTTGATTAGCCACTGCTGTCGCAGAAGCAGCACTTCTATCCGGGAGCCCCACTCTATCACAAAACGAAGAAGAGATCTGTTGTCTGCTCTTCAAGAAAGTAGGTAGGAGGGTGTGGGAGAGGAGTCTGGCCTTCACTTCTTTTACTTCTTTGGAATCTCCTGAACTTGGAGAGTGAATGAAAGCTTGGGGAAAAGAGTAAAGAAGTTAGGAAAGTGGCAGAAACAGAAAAGAGACTTTGGAGGCACAACGGGAGCAGGAACCATACAGAAGAAACTAAAATGGAGTGGGATGGAGAGCTTGCTGAGCGACAGACACTGTTAGAACTGTATTACTTTCCAGACTTGTATCTCCATGTAAGGGGTAGCTGTAGACGCTGAGAGACTGAGTAGCTTACGGTCACACAACTGAGCAATAGAACCAACAATCAAACCCCTGACTAATGACAGTTGAGTCCAGGCTTGCACACACAGCATCCTTCACAGTTCTGTTCCTGCATTTCTAGTGCCATATATCTTAAAGGATCAATTAATGACTAGTAAATTAATTATTCAATTAATAATTTGATGGATGACAGGTAATATGCAATTGCCTTTTTAAAAAGATGGTTTTATTTTTATTTTTATTTTATTTATTTATTTTATTTTTATTTTTTAAGTTGTATGAGCATTCGGTTTATTGACCTTTGGGGGAATGTGATATTCTGTCACTAGATTACAACTGAGCCATTAGTCTTGTCGATTCATCAACATTAGCCGGTTCATTTTCACGGGGCTTCAGCTCCTTCTGCACAGATTTAAGAGAAAGGCTTTTTGAAAAGTTTGCAAGTTCTTTCTGTATATTTACAAAAGCTGTGTTCATTCTGTTGACTTTTTCATCATTCATAATGTTTATCTTCTTAAGATTAGTAGTAACTGGTTTTGCCTTATTTTTAGCTTTGAAGGTTCTTTGGCTGGCTATGTGAAATACATTCCTGGACTTCTGCCCTTTTAATTTGATCTTGGCCATTGTCAAACTGCAAAACGCACGCGGCTGTTCAGGTTCCCAGTGACGCCATCCACAAAGTCAAGACACAGTTTATTTATTTATTTTTGGTTTTTCGAGACAGGGTTTCTCCATTGTAGTTTTGGTGCCTGTCCTGGATCTCGCTTTGTAGACCAGGCTGGCCTTGAACTCACAGAGATCCGCCTGCTCTGCCTCCTGAGTGCTGGGATCAAAGGCGTGTGACACCAGCAGTGGTTTTATTTTTAATCATGTGTTTATGTGTTTGTATATGAGCATATGTTCACATGAAGGCAAGTGCCTGTGGAGACCTGAAAAGGATGTTGGACCCCCTGGAGCTGTGGTTTTGAGCAGCAATGATATGGATGCTGGGAACTGAACTTTGGTCACTTGCAAGAGAAGCAAGTACCAGGGATGGAGAGATGGCTCAGCAGTTAAGAGTACTTGTTGCTCCATCCAGAGGACCCAGGTTTGATTCCTACCACCCACATGGACGCTCATAACTGTCTGTAACTCTAGTTCTAGGGGATCCAATGACCTCTTCTGGCACCTGAAAGTACTGTGCATAGACATGCATGCAGGTAAAACACTCATATACATAAAAATAATAAAATGTAAAAAAAAATTTTTGAATAAAAAAAAAAAAGCCAGCACTCTTAACTCGTCCAGCCTCCAGACTGTGACTTCTTAAATTTTAAAAAAAAATTTGTACCATTCAGAATTGATCCTAGTACATTTCTTATGTGCCAGTCACACAGTTCTGCACAGAGCTATGTCCCCAGTCTCACCTTCTTGAATCTTGTTGCATATTATGAGACATCATCCCTGTTGCTTTGAGTTATAGAAACACAGATGTCAGAGTTTGTCGGCATCCCCTGTTCCTTGTTCATGCATGTGCTGGGGGAGCTCAGCCACGTGTGGGTGTTAGAGCATTTTCTCATGAATATTTGCAGAGCTATGTACATTCCATCTCAAGTGTTGTTTCTTTCCATTCAAGATGGAGACAGAAGTGGAAGGGAGAGACGTCTATAAGAAAAAGCCTTTTTGTGTGGCAATCAGCTGGGGGTTTGCAGGCCTGAGGGGGAGGGAGATTAGCATGAGCATTTCATTACTGTTCGTTCCTTCCGCCAGCAGCACAGCTGCTTGGCTGGCTCCGTAAGCTGGATTTGGAAGGAATAAGGTCATTCTTTTGCCTTTGTCTAACTTGTTTTCCCTCTTTCTCTAAACTTAACTGCGATTCTTAGGAGATCAGCCTTTAGATTCATAGAAACATCTGAAGGACAGAGTTCCCTAATACTAGAGGTTCACCGCTGGTGCCAAATTCCTATACAAAAATAGGCAGGGGAGACTGGAGAATTCTTTTAAAGTGCAAAAAGTAGTTTGAGGTTTTTTGTTTGACTTTTTTTCCTTTGAGTGAGTCAAGGATAATAGGAATTCCTGTACCAGGATTTCTATCTGGAGTACCTATCTGGAGCCCTGGAGATGTAGGCTGAAAAGAGGTCATCTGTGAGGGAGGAATACTTGGTAGACAGTTTTTGAGACAGTTGCCCTTGATGTTACCTCACAGGTCTCACTTGATCTGCAGTGCTGAGGATTGATTGGTCTTAGGCTCCCATCCTGCTCTTCACACTTAGGCTTGTTTTGAGGTCCAAAGGGATTGTCATTTGATTAAAGAAGAAACACTCGATGGTGATGACTGCTTTGAGAGTCTGTGGAAAAGTGATTTGGAAAATCATCTAAACAAGAGTGGAAAGTACCCCTTAAAAACTCTCTCTCTTTTTTTTTTTTTTTTTTTTTTGAAATAATCCTTTTTTTATTTTTGTTTTTTTTTATTGGTGTTTAGCCTATATGAATGTCTGTGTAAGGGTGTTGGATCCTGGAGTTACAGAGAGTTGTGAACTGCCATGTGGGTGCTGGGAATTGAACCCGGGTCCTCTGGAAGAACAGCCAGTGCTCTTAACCACTGAGCCATCTCTCTAGCCCCCAAAAACTCTCTCTCTTTTATTTATATACGCATGCCACTGAGTTCATGTGGAGGTCAGAGGACAACTTTGCAGAGTTAGTTTTTTTCCTTATATCCTTATGTGGGTTCTGTGCATTGAACTCAGGTGACTAGGCTGGGGTGGAAAGAGCCTTTTTGCACTGAATTGTCTTGCTGGCCCCCTTTTAAACAAAGTATCTTTATATCTATCACAGTAGACAGTTGCGTCCAGGCTAACTGACAGCAGCTGGCTGAAAGCAGCTGGCTTCCCCCTAGGAATCCTCTTGCTCAGCCTTCCCAGGTTCTAAATTCCCCTTCTCACTTGTGAAGCAAGTCTGGTCCAAGTACCCCATCAGCACCATTTCGATAGTCTTCTGTTTAGAGAGCCAGCACAGCTGATCAGTGAAAGGTTCCTTATTTTGGGGGAGTGGAGTTGGGGTGGACGATGTCATTATGTAGCATAGGCTGGCCTTGAACTAGCAGTCTTCCAGCCTTGGTGCTGGGATTATGGGCACATTATCAGCACACCTATCACACAAGGCTTCTTCTAAGTGCAATGTTCAGAGAAGGTATGGAGAAAGAAATGGGGCTGATTTCTCTCTCTTCTGTGATCAGCAAAAATCAAAAACAGCATAAAAAAGAACATGAAGGTGGAAAAGGGTCTTGAGCAAAATAAGGATTTGGATGTGGTGGATATTATCAAGATACATTGTATATATGTGTGAAATTGTCAATAAATAATAAATATTACTAAACAAAACAAAATTAATTTTTAAAAAAGAAATGATTCTACCACAGTCTAGCTTAGTGAACCAGTGTGTTTCTTGGGGCCACTCACAGGAATATAGACAGTTCAAAGATAACTGCCCACCCCAGCATGGAGGACTTAAGAAAGCTGCGTTACTCCTCTGGGTACAGTGCTTACAGACACTCAGAATGCCCAGCATCTCCCCACTCTCAGATAAATATAAATATAAATATAATATATATTGCAGTTTTTCTAGTTTGAATATTTAGATTATTCAATTTTATTTTTTTGTTGACTCAGTGTTATTATATTCTTTAACTTTATTTTGATATGTTTTAATAGGACCTTGGAAAAATGAGAAATATGTTTGAGTTGTAGCTCACAAACCAATAGTATTAAGTTTGTGTCAGTTGCCAGGCGTGGTGGCTCACACCTTTAATCCCAGCACTTGGGAGGCAGAGGCAAGGGCAATCTCTGTGAGTTCTAGGCCAACCTGGTCTACAAAGAGAGTTTCAGGACAGCCAAGGCTCTGTTACAATGAGAAACCCTGTCTCAAAAAGTTTGTGTCCGCAGAAAATGTTCAGTGTTTTCTTTTCTATATCAACCTTAATTTAGTGTTTTTCCCCAAACCAAACGCACCAGAACCTTTGTCAGTCATAGTATCGTGTGCTGTGACATCTAGAACATGGCTGGGTATGATGGGTAGTTTTGATTGTCAACTTGACATAGTCAAGAATCATCTGGGAAGGAGCACTCAATGAAGAATTGTCTAGATTAGATTGGCCTGTGGGCATGCCTGTGAGATGTTTAATTGAGTTGAGAAGACCCTTCCTGAATATGGACAGCAACATTTCATGACCTGGTCCCTAGACTAAGTGAAAGGGAGAGAGCAAGCTGAGCTGTGAGCCTGCTCTCTATTTCTAACCATGGATGTGACCAGCTACCTTAACTCCTATTTCCTTGACCTCTCTGTGTCAATGACGGTTACCTAGAATTGTGAACTAAAATAGACCTTTTCTCTTCTGAGTTACTGTTCTGTTTTTTTTTTGTTTTTGTTTTTGTTTTTTTCTGAGACAGGGTCTCAGTATGTAGCCCCGGGTAGCTTTAACTCACTATATAGACCAGTTTGGCTTTGAACTCAACTTATTTACTTGTCTCTGCATCCCTAGTTCTAGGGTTAAAGGTGTTCATCTCCATACCAGCTGTGGAGACCCACAGAGGTTTCCTAGTGAGAATTTATTCAGGGTCAGAGAATCTGGGCTTACTTTACCCAGCAGGGCTGTGTAAGGAGATGATTTGGCCATGGGTGTGTTTGCTAGGTGTTTGGACGAGTCTACACTTGGCTGTACAGTGTGCTTTGATCTTGCAAGGGGGAGGTCTTTTGCCCCTCCCCTTGGCATTGTTTTAAAAAGCCCTTTTGAATAAACGAAGTGGCTGTTGGGTATTGATCCAGGCCCTCCCGACGCTATTCTGTGTTTCTGTCTTTCTTCTCCTTGGCTGGGTCTCTCTTTCTATCTAATATTTCCTCATTCCTCTCTCTTCCACCTAGGAAGCCTTCAAAAGGTGGGAGCTAGACCCCCACAACCAGCCTAACTTGTTTTTTGTCATGGTATTTTGTCACAGCAACTGGAGAAGACAGTAATAGGGTAACTTTAATGCCAGGCATTGCTAGGGCTGTGGCTTAGGGGCAGAGTCTTGGCTTGCATAGCATGAGGGTTGAGGGAGCCAAAGTCAGAGAAATTGTTTATTCTGAAACTTTCTGACAAGTTTTAAACTGTATATCTTAAGGTGCTTCCTGCTACTTACTGCTCTTTGTGTACTGCATTATTTTGGGACTGGAGTTTGACCTCATATTTCTTTCTTTTTTTTTTAACTTTTTTTTTTTTTTTGAGACAGGGTTTCTTTTTGTAGCTTTGGCACCTTTCCTGGAACTCACTCTGTAGCCCAGAGTGATCTCGAACTCACAGAGATCCATCTGCCTCTGCCTCCTGAGTGCTAGGATCAAAGGTGTGCGCCACCACTGCCCAGCTTGACTTCATATTTCTTTCCTAGGATTTTAAGTCAGGAGTGGTACTTACAATACAGTTTTGCAGTGTATATGCATTTCTAGTAAAAATAGCCTCTTTAGAATTGTGAGATCTACAGAGATGAAAGTAGAAAGAATTTGTTTTTATGTTTTGCTTGATTAGCCCTCTTTTTTCAAACATTCCTCTTAAGTCAGCATCACATTTGGTATTTCTCTTTTAGAGGAGACAGATAATCACAATGTGGTAAATACTGTATTTTTTTTTGCTTGTGTATTGTGTGTGATATGTATGCATGTGTGGGCAGGT